TGAGTTGTTGATGGTATTCCGTTTTCCGTGTAAACCAAAATAAAGTAATAATCTATAACGAAGTCGTGCTTACGTCCTGCAGAGTCACGTTACAACGTATATACGATGAACATACTTTGTTTTGACTCTTTTGGTATTCAAAAACTGTTTTTGAGCTGATAAAGTTTGGCAAAAAAAAAATCGTTACTGATGTTAATTAAAGTAAAACAACGTATATGTGAATATCGCTAATAACTTTGCAATAATCGAATGGTTGTAATTAATATCCCAATATATACATATATACCATCATGCACAATTTCAAAAACTTATTACTAAGTTTCAAACATGCAAACATACGTTGTTTTGCCACGGAACGTTTATAATAAAAAGACTCAATATGTTGTACATCAGTGGCTACAGGAAATGTTAATTAAAGAAATCTGTGTGCAAGCGAACTTTCTCGTGGTAGCTGAAAGAGTGGTAGCTCTGACAATATTTGCGCTCCTATAAAAAGACATATGTAGGCTGCTGGATGACACGATCAAAGCAAATAAAAAAAAAAACGAAAAATTGTACGACAATTTCGATGTAAGACTTATTTTTTTAATTTTCGATTGCAAACAAGAAATATTTCTTTAACGAATACAAATATTTCATTTAAAGATTATAACGACAAACGATGTATCTCCCCTACAACGGTACACCCCATACAATGTTTTTCAAAGTTTCTTTACAGTCCATGAAATAATACGCAATTTTCGGTTGCGCCTGACAGGCTTCTTTCAACTGGAGACAGACTCTGTAACAGCGTCTGACGTCTTCCAAACTCAATGCTCCGAACAGCAAACTTCCGAGCTTGGCCAGGTCCTTGACGATGCGTTCCGGGTCTGTGTCGTAAGGTTGCAAGCATTTCAGCGGAGCTACCACGACCCCAACTCGCCCCTGTACAGGGTGGAGAGTCCAACCGATTGTTCGAAGGCGGCTGATGTGGAACAACCTGCGTCGATGGAAACTGCTGCGGAACCGGTAGTGGAACCTGCATCGATGGAAACTGCTGTGAAACCTGCGTCGATGGAGACTGCTGCGGAACCGACTGTGGAACTGGAACCAGTTGTGGAACCGGCTGTAGAACCGGTTGTGGAACCTGCATCGATGGAATCGGCCGTGGAACCTGCATCAATGGAAGCTGTGCGGAACCGGCTGCGGGACCTGCAGCGATGGAAACTGCTGCGGAACCAAATGCAATAATCGACGTGAAGGGGAGTCTAAACAAACTTATAGAACTTTGCGGGGAAAACCTGCCTTATTCCCAGGCCTTCGGGAAGATGATAGAATTCCTGACGAGAAGGAAAGCGAGGCCCTACGAGATGCCGACACTTCTCTTTTGCCGAGACGAGGTGAGCGG